CAGCAAATATGAATAAAAGAAGTACTTATTCCCACATATTCTCTCAATACTCTGTATTACTTTTACACCAATTCTTCAGCCACCATTACAGCTTTTTGTTGAAAATAGCAAAATAAAAGTGACTTATTTTTCAAAAATCATAAAAATCTAGTTCACTTTCTAAGTAAATAAACACAAAACATTACACTTCTTCTTTCTACATTTCTATATTTAAAGATCCATATAAATTTTGCCTCTTCCAGCAGAACTGCATTATTTAACAATGCTGATTTATTCTTTCTGGAGCAATCTAATACTAATTGCTTCAGATATCATTTAATTCCTATTGAATCAGAGATAATTTACCTCATATCTGTAAGTTTCATTTGCATCAGGAGGATTTTGAGCATCTGTATCCAAATTCCAGGTGTCAGGCTCAGCACTGAAAGTAGCACCTCCAAACTCATTGAGCAACCGATCAAAATTTTCTGCGGTTGGGATTTCAGGGGATTTGAGGTACAAGGCTTGTTTATCTGACAAAACATTTAAAGAATGAAACAACTTTAAGGAAAAAAAAAAAGATAGAGAAAAAAAGAATTTAGTAACGATGAGACAATGTTACACATTATTTGGGATGCTAAATTATTTACAAAAAAACACCAAACTATATTTGCTTTTTTCCCACAAGAGTACCAGATGTTTAATTCTGTGTTTTCACAAGTGAAAGGATCACAACATAAGGACTATGAGCAGACAAAATTAGTAGTTTTCTGAGAGGTTTGATAAAATAAAAATAGTTTTATGTTTAGTCTTTTTCTGGTATCTAAAGAGCTCACAAAAAATAACACCACAATGCTTAATATTGGCTACAGCTCTACTTACAGTTTGTAGCATGAATGCAGAAAATACTGGGATTGACTTGGTCAATTATTTTAAATATCCTTTCTGGTGGATTTGCTTCAACATCCAGAGAATACACAGCAGCTTTCTGACTACACAGATGGCTGTCACCTCTGCAAAGAAYGATAATAAATGAATGATCCACTAGAAGTTTGTGTTGCCCAGATTTTAAAGTTCTTTTCATCTACTGAGGCAGCATCAGAAAAACAAAAAAGCATGAAATTACGGGATTTAACACAATTTGTAGARCAATTGTGCATTCTTAGAAGGCTCCTATTGTTTGCTACTCTGTGCTTAATAATAAATAATAGAGAATTCTCCCACGTTTTATTTAGCAGAGGAAACTGTGAGCAGCAACATGAAGGAAGGTAAAAACAGAYTAGGGGAAGGGAAAACCAGTGACAATATTAGAGATAAAATGACAGACTGGGTGAGACCCACATGGTTGAGGTCCCAAAAATGCAGGGCTGCACCACAGACCCCACAGAGCTCAGCAGCACTTTCATTTCCACAGCCCAAGTGGGAAGTCAGACCAGGAAAACAGGTCAGTTTTGTGGTATTGGAACAATAATTTAGGCAGGGAACGAGAAAAATTCCTACTTGAGATGCATGTGAAAGAAATGGCAGAGTGAGGAACAGGAGGTGAAATAACCCAGCCTGTTTTGGGAAAGTGTTTAAGGCTGTGCCACGGTTTCATGAACAGCCCAGAACTGCAGGAGAATGTGCCAGTTCAGACCCTGGGAGCACTGGTGTGTCCTACATCCTACAAATCCAGGATGATGATCCCTGTGAAACTGGTATTCAGCAGGATAGGGCACTTAAGGACAGGCAATGGAAAAGTGAAATGACTTTTAGAAATTYTGAAGCCTGGAGTTAAGCTCTTCCATGAGGTGAGTCATTTGTTAATAGGATCCCATCATCAATCAAACCCTTTTGCTGCTGTTTCAGAGACCACATGGCTTCTGCTTTGGGATCAGCCAAACTAACACAAATATTCAAATGTATATAAATCTGGATGTAAATAATGAGACCCACAATACCTGCAGACACTGAAAATCCCCTGGATTTTCATGCAAAATTAATGTTTTACACAAAAGAATTTGGGGAAAGAAACACAACTTCATTTGAGGCATTTCTGGTTGACAAAGACAGCACAGTCACCCGAGGCAATTAAAGTGTCACTCAGGAGGGCGTTGATTAGACCTTTCTGATCCATATAAATATCTATAAATGGGGAGCAGGAGCCTTTGTGTGCAAGAACAATAAGAAACCACAGTCTGGCATGACTGCTAATTCAAATTTCAAAGCACCAAGAATAAACCCCAGTGCTCAGATTGGCATAATTTATACAGAATGTGGGTTGAAAAGCTGCACTTATTGTTCTGAGAAGTCACCAAGAGATTTTTTTTTGCACATTATGATTTTGAAGTCAGCTTTCTTAAGTCCTCTTTAAGAAGATGAAATCGGGTGAAGGCGTTTTCAAACTAAATAGCAAAGAAACAACTCTTAGCTTTAGTTTCTTGGTATAATATTACATTTTAKTGTTTGTGAAGTGGCAAATGGGCAGTGGGAGAGCAGGTTGGGATGGTGACTTSTAAAATCAGGACCAGGAAGATGCTCACACTACTTCAACCAGCCCTGAACTGATCAAGTGTGCAGCTGATACCATAAATGTAATCAAAGAAATTACTGATAAATTGCTGGTTATCTACAGAAGTGGCCASATGGTCCTGTGAGATCAGTTTTATTTACTTCCAGACACTGTGTTATGTTGATGGAAGTCTAAACATGCATCATTCCTTCTCCCCCCAAAAAAAGCATCATCACAGGAGCAMAGTGAAACAGGAGGAAAGCAAAGAGCATGAGAAAAGAGGGAATGAGAGGGAGAGAATTGGGTGGGAGGTGGATTTGCTATCCTGCCTGGTTGGGACCAAAGTGCAGATGGGACTGGTGAAAGGGAATTCAGGAGGGCAGCAGGGAGGGTTAGGAATTGGTCAGAGGAAAGCACAGAGCCCTACAAAGGCATGCAGCAGATAAACCTGGCTGATAAATGCAGATACGATATCCTGCAGCAGATAAACAACGATTTTGTATTTTCTGCTCATTTMAACACTCACGTGACCACAGGAACCGAGCATGTGGTGAAGAGACTGAAGTCCTCAGCGCTGCAATCGGGGTCACAGCAGCAGTTGACATCACACTGTGCCACCAGCAGGTCACACACGCACAGCTTGGCAACTGCAGCRGAGATGGAAACGAGAACTGCACTGGGGACTTTACACTGCACAGCATGTCCCAAACGCTTTCACTTTTCACCTCGCCCAGGCTTTGACAATGGTCAAAAATCTTCTCTAAATTCACCTKTTCTTTAAGTGATTTTTTTAAAGCCAGCTTTTCTGCTACTGAGCAAACGTATTTGGAACACACGGACAAAACCGAGACATGCTAAAATGAGTTCCCTGGGAAATAAAATAAAACCTTAATAGGAATTTTGAAGGTGTGAAAATATACTCAGCCCTGCAGAGGAAAAAAATAAGAGATACAAACAAGGTGTGTTCATCTGCTTGTTTCAGCTTATTGGGAAGAAATAAAACATCATGAAAAGGCACTGAGATGTTTACAAGTATTGAGCATGTCCCAGGGTCCAGGGATATATCTCTCTGATGTGACAACATAGCTGATTTCTTTGAAACTGTTTTTTCTCTGTTTTTAGATACTGTGAGATATTGTAATCACAGATAGAGTAATTGCTAATAATTCTGTAAACTGGCTTGGTAAAATACACTTGGCAACTTCTTCAAACTCACTGAGGTTTTGAATTTTATAAATTCAAAGAACAGATATCACTCTAGTCAACTGTTTATGAGACTTGCTGCTCTGTAATAAATAGACTCAAGAATAGCACAGAACGAGGAAAAATAAGGCCGGTGTTTTACAGAAAAGACATTCAAAGAATATTTCCATAATTCAGTCTTGTTTTATTTCACTTTGTTGCCTGTTTCTCTATGGACCCCTGGATGTTTTCTGACCACCTGAACAGTATCCAGGTATTTCCTGGAATCTCTGAAGTTCTGACTGTTCTGTTGGCTGAGCTTAGCCCTGGATCCTTAGCTCACCCTGTAAACAAAAGAAGTTTAAACATGGGTGATTAGATTGCAAGGTTACGTCTCTGAAATTAGGGATTTCAGTCTCTTTTCCCTAAGGCGGTAGCACCATTACAGGTTTGATTTGGCAAATAACCTATGGAAAGCTCAACTGATGGCAACACCACCGGGATATAAAAGTGTAGCCAATGAGACAGTGGGAAACACCTTCGGAGAGCACAGTAACAACACTTTCTGATTTCTATTGTTATGACAATGTGTGCACAGCGCTGGGGCTGAGCCTTGGGGCAGGGTGTGCAGCTGGGGCTGTGCGTGGAGCTCTCCAACAACTCCACAGGTCGGAGCTGCTCGCTGTGCTCAGAGCATTGCTGGTGGCCAGGAGACCCTGCTCTCCATCCCCGCCGACTCTCAGGGCAATGGGATGCCCAGCTATGGGATGTGATGGCACCATCAGCGTGCCCAGGGCCTGGAGGCTGCTCAGGGGCTCGCTGAGCCTTTCTGAGGACACTCCGAGCCTCGGCCGGAGCGGGTGCTGGTGCTTAGGGGTGCCCGAGCAGCGCTGCAGCGAATCTCAGAGATCCCCAGGGAGAAAGMGGGCAGCAGCCGCGCGGTTGTGCCAGTCCCGGGTGACCGCAGTGGGAAGGGGAGGCTAAAGGCCGGGAAGCGCCGCCCGTGCCCCGCAGCGCCCGGAGGGCACCCACCGTCCGTGACCGGGGGTGGCAGGCTGCGAGCCCGCGCCTGGGCGGCATCACAAGTGTCCGCCGGCTCCGCGGGCGGCTCCTCTGCCCGGGTCGGCGGCGGCGGCGGGAGGAGGAGAAAAATGAGGACGAAGAAAATGCCGGGCCCCGGCGCCGCCGCCATGGCGGCCGCCCTTAGCAACGGCGCGTTGCTAGGGCGCGCGGGGCATCACGGGAAGGGCGGGTCCCGCCTCTCGCGAGACTTGGTGGCTGAGGGGAAGGGCGGGACCCTCATCTCGCGAGATTTGGGGGGGCTGAGGGGAAGGGCGGTGCCCTGGGGAACATGGCGGGCGAGGTGGGGGCGATGGCTCTGCGGCATCTGCGGCTCCTTCAGCCGCCTTTGGGCTCCATCATCGCCCCCAAGCGCGGGGAGTCTCGGGGAAAGGCCACGCGCAGGGTTCTGGCTGGGTATGGCCGTTGTGGTGGTGTCAGGCGGCCGCTTGTGCCACCAGCGCCCTCAGGAAAGCCCAGCCTGCTGGTGATGAGGGCTCGGTGTCCCCTCAGTGCCACGGGAAGGGTTTCAGGTGTAGCGATGCAGGTGTAATCCACGTAGATGGTTTGGAAAAAAAGCTATTGGAAGGTCACACATTAAAAAAAAAAAAAATTGGGGCCCCTTGTGAAATATAAGCTTCAAGTATTATTAATATAAGCTACAAGTATTTCACATACTTGTACAACTTTGGTTTTAGTTGTCTTTCCTTACAGTAATTTTTAAAGTGTTAAAAGTTYCTCCTTTTGAAGATGCTGTGGGTTGTCAGTGCTCAGTGAGCATATTCATTAATCTCGTTAGTAATTTTTTCATGTGCACGCTTATCTCTGAGATCTTTCCCAACTAAAATATTCTATTTTTATACTAATTTGGAAAACTAGGCTAGAGAGTGACTAAGTGATSATGATTCCTTGGGGTTGCCTTACAGCTGTCACATCCAGGCTTTAATTCRAACCAAGAAATTAATTTTTAAAATTAAAATTCATTAAATTGGTGATCTGCATTACCTGATGGGAGACCTTRCTGCTTTCTAAAACTCCCTGACAGAAATTTGTAGTGAGGTGGATGGAGATGAGGCTCTTCTCCCTGGAATCAAGTGACAGAAGGAGAGGAAACAGCCTCAAGCTGTRCCAGGGGAGGTTCTAGTTGGAAATTAAATAGAATTTCTTCATGGAGAGGTTTGTCCAGGGAAATTGGGGAGTCCCCATCCCTGYAGGCATTCAAAAAACGTGTGGATGTGACACTTGGGGACATGGTCAGTGGGGAACACAGCGGTGCTGGGGTGATGGTTGGACTCAATGATTTTAGAGGCCTTTTCCAACCTTAAGAATTCCATGATTCTTTGATTTGTTTTTATTTCCCTGACCAGGCTCATTACTGTCACCTTGAAGGGAAGGCCACAAAAGCCCTAAAAAGCTCTGACATGCCACTTCATCCATTGGAAATGGAAATAACTCCACAGTGCCCCTCCTCTGCCATGTCCACATCACAGGAGTGAGCAGTTATGCAAGCCAGAGCATTGTCTGCCAGGCCACYGAGGTCGTCTGATGTTATCAAAGAGCTGCTACAGGGTGGATTTGAAACAGCAAAATCCTGGAGTCATCCTTCACCATGGAAAGGCCTCGTTCCTCCAAGGACATGGGGACAAAAAGGTGAGAAACYSGTGTGYTCCACTCCACCTCAGATGTTACACCCCAAAATAACCYCCCCAAAAATAACCTCCAACCTGCATTCATTGCAAAAACGTAACCCAAAATTTCTTGAAGAACTGATGTCTTCAGTCTCTTTGTTTCATTGCTGTTCCTGAGATACTTTAGATTCAACTGGAAGCATCCATGCATTTCCCTCCAACAAGGTGGCCAAAATGTTGGATTTGGTTATTTTTTTTTCAGGGTTGAAGAGTAGCAGTCACTTCAGACACTTCCAGTTTGAAAAAGAACTGTAAAAATGGCACCATAAAACTTTATTTCTGCTTCTCGCTGAGGCTGGATCAGGACTGGCTGCAGGCACTGAGGAGAATATGTGCCTGTGTTTGGAGGAAGTCCTGGGAATCTCTAGAACTCCATCTCTTTCACTGTCCCACAGCAGAGGAATAAAAAAAGAGGCAATCCTGCAGGAAGGAACACATGGCTGAGATAAAACCTCCCTCTGGATGAAGCTGACTTAGGGGCTTACAGTCCTTCAGCTTCCTTCAGCTTCAGTTCCCACATGGTCATTTAACAAGGATGGAGATGTTTCTCCTCCCTACAAGTCCTGCARAGTTGGAAACTTGGAATTTCTTTTGCAGACGTGGAGGGAGAGTGGTGCTTGGTTTATTCATCATCATTGATTGTGATCTGTGTTCTTGTTCCACTGCAGTGCCATGAGATAATTAATACTAAAACACCCCTGCTTGTTAGTTTACATAATTCTGATGCCTTTAAAATCAGCAAAAAGGGGCTGTTGACAATGCCCAAGGGAAAGCAGAATTTAATACATTCTTCTTGCATCCCGAATTACTTGGCAGAGCTGATGGTGCACAGGGGACCAGACTCCACGATGAAAACCAAGCCTTGCTGAAATCTGAAAGYACAGATTGCACCCTGGATGAATGTGGGCAGGAGCTGGATGAATAAAGAGGTATTAATTGTTACTGCATCTACCATTGAAATGGAATAGAAGTGGGCAACAGTTCAAAAGCAAAGTAGGATGGAATTAATTGGGTTTTCTCATAACCTTTTTTTTTCTGCTCAGAAGTGTTAGAGCTTCACTCACAGCAGTTCACCTAAACCCATTTTCAATACATGCTGTAATAGAAAGAAAACAACCTTTGTTATGCAGAGAAAGGCAAGACAAAGCCACATCTAAGAAAAACCATTTAGAAAACCCCACCACCACAAAACCCACCCTGTGCTGGACTTCTGAAACAGGTTCCAAAGAACAACTCCAAGTGCATAGGATAAGATCAGGACATCAATAAATAATGCTTGTTCTCCATCAGAGAGATTTTAATTTATCCTGTCAACATGAGTCAATTAATAATTAAAAAGGGCACTGTGATCCTTACGTGGGAGGTCCTATAAAATGAAAACCCAAGCAGTTTGAGATGCAGTAGATTCCTGTTTGTTAAAAAACATATTCAGGGATTTACTCTGGTAGCATTTCAGTTAAGGTTTTGATGTGCATTTAAGTATTATAAAAGCTGTGGCTGCTCCTGGATCCCTGGAAGTGTCCAAAGCCAGGCTGGACGAGGCATGGAGCAAACTGGGATGGTGGAAGGTGTCCCTGCACGTGGCAGGAGGTGGAATGAGATGATCTTTGTGCAAAACCATTCTGTGATTCTTGTTGGTGATCTGGCTCTGCATCTTCTCTTTACTCTCCCTGTRGGAAGTCTCATATGGCCCTTCTCACATCCATTTTCTGTTTAATTCAATTGTGCGGAGTTTGAACTTCATCTTTCCAGGGCTAACATTGCTTTTGCCCTATGACAGATCACTTTAAAAGTCCAGTTGGACAGACATTGGGAATTAGAGTCCAAACAAAGTCAAACCAGGCTGAAATAAACTGCATTCTGGTCTAGCACAACATCAGCCCTTAAATAAATAGTGAGGAGCCAGGGCAGTCTGTACAGCAGATGGCATTACAGGTAATATTTATCACACTCCAATCTCAGGGCTAAGATACTTGGGAGGGAGGATTGACGTCAGCTACAAGTGAATCAGTTTTAAAACAAGCTGAAAACCTGCTTGTGCCTTCAGCTGTTGATTACATTGTGCAGCACTTCTGCTTCACACTCCCTGGTGCATTTATTGGTCGGAGCAAGCCTTGCAGGAAGAGTTCATTCTGTTTTTGCAGCTTAAGTGAGCTGATCTAAATAGATCTTGGACTTTGAGGTGGGAAGATTCCACCCAGCTGCAGTAACCAGGGGGATGCCCTTTGCTCCAGTTTTTGTGCCAAATTTGTGCATTGGGGAATTTTAAACAAATATCACTTGGCAGKATATCGACCCTCAGGGTACAAGAATAACACTGAGTAAGGAAGCAGGGCATGGGCTGGGAGGGATTTACAGAGAGAACTATCCAGACTGACACTGAACAGTGGGCAAAACCAGTTCTGAGGCATTTTATTAAAAATAGTTGGGTTTTTGTCTCACAGGAGCCCAGAGTTCTTTGAACGAAAACCAGGAGCAGTTTTTCCTCGGGGCACAGCGTCCTCAGGCAGGAGTGATAGAGCTCATCAAAGTTTACTAATTACCATGTAAATTATGAGGTCGTCTGGGTGACTGGACAGATTTGGGTGGGTGACCTGGGGTAGAATCATGGAATCATTAAGACTGGAAGAGGCTTCCARGATGAAGTCCAGCCTTTGATCGTTACCCCCATTGCCCACTAAACTGTCACAAAGGGCCCCATCCACTCATTTTTTTAACAGCTTCAGGGAATGCTGACTGTACCACATCCCCAGGGAGCCTRTTTCAAAGATTTCCAAGGATGGAGGAGTGTGAACAGCTCACCGTGTACCTTGCCTTGGRAGCACTTATGGAAGCACAGAGTCATGCTCTGCCAAATGAGTTTGTCAGCCCTGAGCTCACGCTGTTCCTCAGCCTGTGAGCCATGGCTGCCGGGCAAAATGGCACAAAGAGCACCCATCCAGCTCCAGGAAACTCRGGATTGAGGCATGGAGAGCTCAGCTTTAGCTGGGGGGGATCACAGGCTGAGCAGCACAGCCAGGTAGGGCAGGACAGATCACCTTGCACCAACCTGAGCTGCCTYAGGGCACAGCAGGACAGAACAAGGGGTTAGGCCAGGCTGGACTTGAACTGAAAGGACCTGGACCAGAAGGAGGAAGAACAAGACCGAGGGAAGGGAAAGAATGATTCTGTGGGGGAAACTCTGCAAATATGTGCTTCCCTTTCCTGATAAAGTCACTGAGGGCGTGAGACACTGAGATGAGCTACCTTGTTTGTCARCTCTCACACCCTGCCAGGCCCTGGCAGCAGCACTCCCTTATCAACAGCACATTGGCACATTCGGCTGTGCAGCCATTCCCTAATCCACCAAATTGGGYCTGGGCTGTGCCTCATGTTCACTCTCTTTCTCTGTTCTAAGAGGAGGATTAATTTTTTAATAAGTTTGGATACTATTTCAGCTTCAGCTGGATAATTCTCATGCGTCGCTTAGGCCTTTAGCAGTGTAAGGGAGGGAAATACTGTTTCTGTCAAGGTACAGAGGGAGCAAAATGCCTTCCGTGTGACAATGAGGATGCTTCAGCAGTGCTTCTGTRGGCTGGGTCTGTGAAATGTGGCACAGAGCTCTTCCTTTCAATGCWGGCAGCTCAGGGGGGCAGGTTTCACACCTGACTCTGCTGTATTTATACCTCTGTTGTTTGTTATTTACGTGTCTCGGGTTATGTAAGTGGCAGCAGCCTCTTAACCTGTGTGTACCCAGGGGAATTAAATCAATTTGCAGGGCGACCTGCTGGGAACTTCCATGGGGACAAAACCATTTTTTGCACGCCCACAAGCAGCATGGAAAACCGAGCTGTGGAAAATGAGGAATTTGGTSTTTTTGAACATTGTAGGTCTCTACAGCATTGATGCCTTATAGGTATTAAGAATTGTCCAGCTGAGAGCTTTGTGTCACGCTCCACTACAATTAACGTGGTTTTAGYAGGGTTTGAGTGATGACTGCACAACACGCCCTTCTCGTTTGGGTTTTGTTTGGCATTTCACGTTGCTTAACCAAAATGGATCAACTGGCAGCGCTTCCACGGATTTGCACAGAAGCCTCTCTCGCACGGCGCTGAGCTGGCTCTGTCCCCAGCCGCTCCGCGCCGGGGAGAACAGGGCGAGTCATCCTTGGAAAAAAACACATTTTTGCGCGGCGTGACTCACATAACCGTCCTCAGCAGGCACGAAGCACCGGCAGCCAGCGAGTCCCCCCCGAGTTATTCGGAGCACGCGAGACGCGCGGGGCGTGGAGGGCAAGTATGTGGGTTAGGCGCAGCCGCGCTGTGCCCGGTGTGGAGAACGTTAATTGCGTTAATTGCGTTAATTGCGCTAATTGCGGGGAAAAGGCGGCGGGCACTGCGCGCGAGGGGCGGGGGCACGGACCCCGCTCGGCGCCGCGGGGGCTGCCGGGAGCCGCCCGCTGTTATTGTCCGCAACATGCAAATGAGGCGGGGCGGGGAGCCAATGGGGGGCGGCCGCGCGCCGCCGCCGCGCACGCGCGCCTTCAAGGGGAAGGCGGGGCCGACCTCGCGCCCCGCCCAGCGCCGGGGCCCTCACCTCAGCACGCGCGGCGAAGATGGCGGCGGCGGCGGGCGGCGGGGCGCGGGGGCGGCGCGGGCGGCTCTGACCGGGCACCGCGGGCGGCGGGGAGCGAGCCCGGAGAGAGCCCTGAGAGCTCCGCGGGCAGCGGGGAGGTGGCATAACCCCCCTCCGGGGGGGGGGAGCTGGCGCGGAAGGCGGGGGCGCTGCCGGCGAGCCCGGCCGTGAGGGGCAGCGCGCGGGGCAGCGCTCGGRCCGTGAGGGGCAGCGAGGGCGGGTGAACCGCCGCCGGAGGGACGAGGGTCCGCGGCAGACAGGGCTCGGAGCAGCGGCGGCGCGGGCCGGCGGGCAGGGGAAGGAAGGCTGGCGCCCTGCGGTGGGCGCTCGGCGGGCAGGAGGCGGCTGCGCCGGTGGCTCCCCGCGTTCCTGGCGCTCGGCTGCTGGGCGCCCCACGCCATGTTCTCGGTGCTCTCGTACGGCAGGCTGGTGGCGCGGGCGGTCCTGGGCGGCCTCTCGCAGACGGACTCCCGCGACTACAGCCTGGTGACGGCCAGCTGTGGCTTCGGCAAAGATTTCCGCAAGGGCATCCTCAAGAAAGGCATGTGCTACGGGGATGACGCCTGTTTCGTGGCGCGGCACCGCACCGCGGATGTGCTAGGTAAGTGCCCGGGYCGGGAGCTGAGGTGACTTSGGCTTCGTTGTGTGACCTCCCTCYCTYCYTCCCTCCCGGAGCTGCACATGGCGAGCGGCTCAACCTCCGGTGGCAGACAAAGGAGCTGGTTCTGCCTGTCATTGTCACCGTCAGTTCGTTTTTTTAGCTTGCCAAGGAAGCTCTCGTGCTGTTTGCTTGCAGCTCTGCCTCCCTTTGTCATGGGGGATTGTGTGTGCCGGCTGTCCGGGCCCAGCCTGGGTWTTTCACCTGTGGGTGCCTGTAAGGCCCAGTGGCTCCAAAACTCCGAGAAAGAGCTCCTAGTGCGTTTCACTTTCTGTCTTTCTCTAAAACCTGACCGATCCCCATGTGTATGTATTGCGTTTCCACAGAAAAGGTTACTGGAACAGGCACTTCCTGATTTTAACGCGTGCAATGTCCTTGTCAAGTGAAAGGCAAAGTGACATTGAGACTGGAATCAAATGTCAAACTTCAGTTTCGTTGTTTGTTCTGGCCTGATTGCGCKCTCTGGTTTGGAATCACGGTTGAAATTAATCTTGAGGGTTCAAATTTTAGAAGTAGTGAATAATTATGGATAATCAATGGAATCTTCAGTCTATGGGCARCATTGCTTTTGACAGTACTTGACCTTTCTCCTGTGTACTCAAGGTTGAATTTGGCTGACTGACACTCTGCACAAGTTAGTTGTGGTGTAACTGCCAGAACCACATTTTCATCAAAACTTTGACACTTCAAAAAATGCTTCCTCCTCTCTGCCCCTGTCTGCAGGGTATTTTTGTATTTGTTTGTTTTAAACCGGTGGGGTTGCTCTGTGCTACCTCATGCTGTGGAAGTGGTTGGTG